CTTTCCCCACCCTGTTCGATCAGTCCCCTACATCGCAAAGCCAAATAAAAAGAAAAAAGGAAAAAGGTGGGAAAAAAAAAAAGAAACAGATTGGGGGGGGGGGGGAGAGATTGCAGGGAGATCTTCTCCCCCCCACCCCACATCATAGTTTCGCCCTGTGTGAAGCACCTTTCCCCACCCTGTTCGATCAGTCCCCCAAATAGCACTACAAAAAAAAATGGGAAAACGAAAAAAAAAACGGTGAATGGGAGAGAGAGGATAGTTTCCCATCGCACATACCTTTGCGAGTCATCGCGGAATCAATTGAGGGCACAACGCTGCACTCCTCTTCGTTCTTATCTTCTCTACCGCTTTCCTTTCGTCTATCCTCCTCTTATCAACTCATCAACCATAGATACCTCTATGCTCAGATGTTCATGTGTCCCCTATCGCAGATTTGTACTATAATCTCCTTCTCTTCTCCTGTCCTGGCATCCCTAAATGAGGCAGCGATGGAAAAAAAGCCCAACAAAAAAGAGGTCGGTACCTTCATGTTCTCGTGACCACGCAAAGAGGCAGCGATGGAGAACAGGCCCAACAAAAAAGAGGCCCGTACCCACCGCGAAAGAGGATGGTACCCAAAAAAAAAAGGCAGGCCGGCACAAACGAAACCAAGCCCGGTACCAACCAATATAGGCGGACAATTTTTTTATTTTTTTTTCGTTCTTCTCAAGGGCCCAGTGCCCTTCTGCCACCGTTATTCAGATTACCAACCCTTGCCCAGAACAGACGCGTCATTGGCGACTGTCCTATGCCACCCTGCGTCCATCCACCAACCCTGCGCCTACCCCCACGTCCATCCGCCCGCCTCCGCCTGCGTGCGCCTGCCTGCCAGCGCCTGCCTCCGCCTGCCTCCGCCTGCGTCCGCCTGCCTGCGCCTGCCTCCGCCCGCCTCCGCCGGCCTCCTCATACATCCGCCTGCGTCGGCCTGCCTCCGCCTGCCAGCGCCTGCGTGCGCCTGCCTGCGCCTGCC